TACTTCAGTGACAGAGCACTTAAATACACTGAACACCTTATTTTCTCAGCTTACATCCTTAAGCTGTAAAATATGAGAACAAGAACGTGCTGAACTTCTACTTCAAAGTCTACCAGATTCGTATGATCAACTCATCATCAACTTGACAAACAATAATGTCACCAGTCTAGTCTTCGATGACGTTGCAGCTGCTGTTCTACAAGAAGAAAATCGGTGCAAGAACAAGGAAGATGGACAAGTAAATCTGCAACAAGCAGAGGCATTGACAACGATGAGAGGGAGATCAAAAGAACGTGGCCAAAGCAGCAGTCACAAACATGGTAGATCGAAGTCAAGAAGCAAGAAGAATTTAAAGTGCTACCACTGTGGAAAGAAGGGTCACTTGAAGAAGGATTGTTGGAGTCTCAATAAAAACTCCAATCCACAAGGCAATACCGCAAACACTTCAGATGATGGAGATGCTCTATGCTGTGAAGCGTCAACCACCGTGGAAGGAAGAAAACGATTTGCAGATATATGGCTCATTGATTCAGGAGCAACATATCACATGACCTCAAGAAGAGAATGGTTCCATCATTATGAACCTGTCTCAGGAGGATCTGTTTATAGTTGCAATGATCATGCCTTAGATATCGTTGGCGTGGGAACCATCAAATTGAAGATGTATGATGGAACAATTAAAGTTGTTCGAGATGTGCGGCACGTGAAAGGCCTGAAGAAAAATTTATTATCCTACGGATTGTTGGATAATAATGCAAGCAAGATTGAAACACAAAAAGGAATCACGAAGGTGTTCCATGGAGCGCTTGTGGTGCTGAAAGGCGAAAAGATAGCTGCAAACTTGTACATGTTGAAGGGAGAGACTTTGCTAGAAGCAGAAGCCTCTGTTGCCTCATGTAGTTCAGATTCTGCAATGCTATGGCATAAGAAACTTGGACACATGTCAGAACAAGGAATGAAAGTCCTTGTGGACAAAAGCTACTTCCCAGCTTAACAAAGGTATCACTTCCTTTGTGTGAGCATTGTATAACAAGTAAGCAACACCGGTTGAAATTCAACACATCAAATTCTAGAGTCAAAAGTGTTCTAGAATTGGTTCACTCTGACGTATGGCAAGCACCGGTCACATCCCTAGGCGGAGCAAAATACTTTGTCTCATTTATTGATGACTACTCCAGGAGATGTTGGGTGTACCCTATAAAGAAGAAGTCAGATGTGTTTGTAACTTTCAAAAACTTCAAAGCGCGAGTGGAACTTGATTCTGGAAATAAGATCAAGTGTTTCAGAACAGATAATGGAGGAGAATACACAAGCGAAGAATTTGATGACTTTTGCAAGAGAGAATGCATCAAAAGACAGTTCACAGTGGCGAACACTCCTCAACAAAATGGAGTGGCAGAGCGGATGAATAGAACCTTGTTAGAAAGAACACGAGCAATGTTGAGGGATGCAGGCCTAGAAAAATCATTATGGGCAGAAACAGTCAATACCGCCTGTTATTTGGTGAATCGAACTCCATCAACTGTAATATAGCTGAAGACACCAATGGAGATGTGGACTGGTAAACCAGCTGATTATTCAAACCTCCATGTATTTGGAAGTATTGTGTACGTGATGTACAACTCCCAAGAAATCTCAAAGCTGGATCCTAAATCCAGGAAATGCAAATTCTTGGGGTATGCTGATGGAGTCAAGAGGTATCGCTTGTGGGATCCCACTGCCAGCAAAGTGATCATTAGCAGGGATGTTATCTTTGTAGAAGATAAGCTACAAAGAAAAGAAGACGATGATAGCACTGAAAAGTCATAGACTACACATATACATGTGGAAAAGGAGGTTGAACAAGGAGATTCTTCTGAAGCAGAACCAGCACATGATGAACAAGAACCAGAAAGTTCTGAAACTCCAACAACTCGTCAATCAGATCGTGTGAGAAGACGTCCCAATTGGCACTCAGATTATGTTATAGAATGTAATATTGCATACTACCTTTTAACAGAGGACGGTGAGCCATCAACATACCAAGAGTCAATAAACAACTCAGATGCTTCACTATGGATGATGGTGATGCAAGAGGAAATCGAAGCCCTTCATAAAAATAATACATGGGACCTTGTGCCACTACCACAAGGAAGGAAGCCAATTGGTAACAAATGGGTCTTCAAAATCAAGCGAAATGGTGACGATCAAGTTGAGAGGTATCGTGCAAGATTGGTGGTCAAAGGATATGCTCAAAAAGAAGGTATTGATTTCAATGAAATATTTTCTCCTGTGGTTCGACTAACAATTGTTCGAGTAGTTTTGGCAATGTGTGCTACATTGAACTTACATCTAGAGCAACTAGATGTTAAAACAGCTTTTCTTCATGGAAATCTTGAAGAAGAGATTTACATGCTCCAGCCTGAAGGATTTGAAGAAAAAGAAAAGAATAACTTGGTTTGCAGGTTGAACAAATCTCTGTACGGTCTAATGCAGGCGCCGAGGTGTTGGTATAAGAGATTTGATTCCTTCATTATGTGCCTTGGATACAACAGACTTAATGCAGACCCTTGTGCTTATTTTAAGAGGTCTGGTGATAACGATTTTGTTATATTGTTGTTGTATGTGGATGACATGTTGATTGCAGGACCCAACAAAGATCATATTGAAGAATTGAAGGAACAACTAGCTAGGGAATTTGAAATGAAGGACTTGGGATCAGCAAACAAGATTCTAGGGATGCAAATTCACCGAGACAGAAGTAGTAGGAAGATTTGGCTTTCACAAAAGAATTACTTGAAGAAGATCTTGTCACGATTCAGCATGCAAGATTGTAAGCCAATTTCTACCCTTTTTCCTATTAACTTCAAATTATCCTCCAGTATGAGTCCTAGCAGTGAAGAAGAGAGGATGGAGATGTCTCGAGTACCGTATGCATCAGCAGTGGGAAGTTTAATGTTCGCTATGATATGCACAAGACCAGACAATGCACAAGCAGTGGGAGTGGTTAGTCGGTACATGGCGAATCCAGGCAAAGAGCATTGGAATACAGTGAAGAGGATCCTGAGATACATCAAAGGGACCTCAAATGTTGCATTATGTTACGGAGGATCAAACTTACTAATCAATGGTTATGTAGATTCTGACTATGCAGGGGATTTGGATAAAAGCAAATCTACTACAGGATATGTGTTTAAAATTGCTGGTGGAGCGGTAAGTTGGGTTTCAAAATTGCAGTCAGTCGTGGCTACGTCCACAACAGAGGCAGAATATGTAGCAGCTACACAAGCCAGTAAAGAAGCAATTTGGTTGAAGATGCTATTGGAGGAGCTTGGGCACAATCAAGAGTATGTTTCTCTATTTTGTGACAGTCAAAGCGCCTTGCATCTAGCAAGGAATCCAGCATTTCATTCAAGGACAAAGCACATACGAGTTCAATACCATTTCATTCGTGAAAAGGTGGAAGAAGGGACGGTAGATATGCAGAACATTCATACCAAAGACAACATAGCAGATTTCATGACGAAGGCGATCAATACCGATAAATTTACTTGGTGTCGATCCTCTTGTGGCCTGTCAGAGACGTAAGCAACATGATGGTACAAGGTAGAAAGAATGGTGTGAAGATATAATTGTTCCAATCAAATCTTCAAGTGGGAGATTGTTGACTAAGCACCCAAAGGTGCATATTAAATGCACCGAAAAAAAATGAGTTGTTTTGTTGATTTTTTGGACAATGGCTAAATCAAAATTTAGTCATTAAACTTTAGGGTATTTACAAATTAGTCCTTAGTTTTCAACTATAAATACCCTAGCTCATTTAGCTTCAAAATCATCCCAAAGCATTCTAGTTTTCTTCCAATACTAGAGAGATTTTAGAGAGTTTCTTGAGAGTTGTTTTTTCCTTTTTATCTAGAGAAAATTATCATTGTTTTCTCCTTGGTAGATCGAGAGAGGTTGTAATTCCTATTTTCTAATAGTGAAATTCTTCTACCGTTGCCCGTGATTTTTACCCTAAATATTTTAGGGGTTTTCCATGTAAATTTTGTGCCTCTTTTATCTTCAATTTTATTTTCTCAAATTATCAGTTGCGATTTTGCTCTATCTGATAGTCGTCTTCCGCAACAATTTGTATATTATTAGTAATACGCATAAATTATATAGTATTTTAGTTTAGATATCTTTCAGGCTAAGTTGTTCGTTATTGAATCAAGCCAAACTTGATAGTAAGTTCAAACACACTTTTATATCTTTTATATTATATTTATGATTTTTATAGTTATTTTTAATAATTATCATTTTATAGTTATTTTAATAATTATCATTTTAATGTTTAAACTTAATTATCGTCTTAAATACATAATGTGTTTCTCTTAACATTTATTAATCAAATCTAAACACGGAGAAATTATTTTATGGTCCCAACTTATCGTCATCCATGGTTTCAATGAATCATATCCATCAATTATAAAATAACTTGTAAATTACTATTTACCCTTTATTTTCACCTTGGAAAGATGTGAAAATTCTTAGAAAAATAAAAAAAAATATTATGGTTGAGATCACGAATGATGTAGGGAAACGGGTCATCTAATATTTTTCCCATACACGCCTTTAAAGCCTTTTCTTAACATTAAACTTAATTTTATATTTAAAATATAAAATAAAATATTATTAGTAGAACTTTCTTGATAATATCTTCTATAAAACGTTTTATATAGGTGTAGTATACATACCTTATGGATCCTTTGAGCTGGCTTCGTCCCTGGAAGAAAAAACAAGAAAGTGTTAGTTCAATTTTATAAGCTAAAAATATTTATGATAACATGCACGTGTTGGAATAATCTATTATGTTATTGGTATATTGTAAATAAAGATTGAAAAGGAAGAAAATGCCAGCCATCCCTTCTCCAACCATATATAAACTTTTACCAGCTTTAGGTTCTGTTCTTCATCGATTTCCTATTAAACAAACCACTAGCTTGTTTAATTCCCTCGGTTTCTTACAGTTGAAGAAAGATATGTCGGCTGATCAGCCTGAGAGTAGTTCAGTATCCGAAGATCTTGCCTTCTTGGACTCCATTAGCCGCCGTATTCTGGCCGGCGATTTTGAACCTTCTTTAACTTCTATAGATGACGTCGTTTCCTTTGACTGGTCGTCTTTACATGGAGGGACTACTTCCAGTTTTACCAGCCTTCTCCTCAAGAATTCCACTCTACCGTTAAATCTTGACAAGGACTTTAGCTTTGCATGTCCTTCGCCTGGAAAAGTGGAACTGCCGCAGCCGCCGCGGGAGGTGAGTCGAGTGGAAGCTGAGACGGTGGTGAGTGGGAAAAGAGTGCATTATAGGGGGGTGAGGAGGAGACCGTGGGGAAAGTACGCGGCGGAGATACGGGATCCGGAGAAGAAGGGGTTGAGGGTTTGGCTAGGGACTTACGAAACGCCTGAAGATGCGGCTTTGGCTTATGATAAAGCGGCTTTCAAGATCCGTGGCTCAAAAGCTAAGCTCAATTTCCCTCACTTGATCGGCTCAAGTAACATAGGACCTGTTAGAGTGGGTCCAAGGCATCGCTCACCTCCAGAGCCGTCGACTTCTTCATCGTTTTCCAATGTCGAGCAGCAGCTCACCGATGCCGAGAAATAGGAAGGCAATTAACTGATGGCTTGGTGGCTGATGTAAATCCAATATGGCGTTATATCGATGCATTTGATCTGCTGGATTTGCTTTCGCTTTTCATTTTCTGCAGGCTGTTTCAGCTAATTCCTATATTTTACTGCTATTTCTTATCTATACAAAAAATGGTTACTGATTCACACATCTTTCCTACCCATCAATCTTCAATTACTTGTAATATTGAAGAAAATGTAATTTTATCATCATTTCAAATACACTGGTAGGAGTATAAAATAATTTTAGAGAATGATGTTGCACTATATACCTTTTCTTTTTTTCTTTTTAATAATGCACTGTATACCTAAGTCTTGGTAACAAAAATTCTCAAAATATCGTATTCTTAGTTAACATAGTTCTCTTAATAAAAGAAAGGCATCGTGCCAAAATTAATATATTTTGATTCTTGTTTTTTCTTGCTTAGAATATTTTAGTCTTTCATATTTTTATTTTTAATTAAAATAAACTTTTATTGTTGAAAATTGTAAGTTGACTAGCATTTTTACACATATTATTAATATAATATGTGTACATGTGTTTAATTAGTAACGTGATACATGTCATATCATCACTTTAGATGATATGACACGTTTCATATCATCACTTTGAATGATATAACATATATTACGTAATCCTTTTGAGTGATTTGATACGTCACGCTATCAATTAAACACATAAAAAATATAAAACCAAAAACATGTGTTTTTCTTTAGTTAACTAAACTGATTATTTATGCAAATATTAAAGCTTAATTTTTATTATTATATCTAAAAAACCTAAAACAATTCTAATACAGTTGTTACGTTGAGAAAGAAGAGAAGAAATAATAGTAGTTGTTACCAACTATTTTCATAAATTCAGTCTACATTCTGTCTATTTTCGTGTTTTAAAAACTCTTTGAAAGCTCAAGTCCGTGTCTAAACTAACTGAACATGTTTCGGACATGCAGCCCGTGCCACGCGATACATACGGGAATGGTCAAAGACAGGCTGCCGCCATCTTTACTATTTATTGGGGCTGATGAACCCGAAGCTGCTTCGATTCTTCGACATTTTCTTTTATCATAATTTTTTTTGTCCATTATTATTCTTTTATGATTCTAATAGTTCAATTATTAAGGTTTTTTTTATAAATTTTAAATTTGAATTTAATTTTTTTATAAAAAATAAATGGAAATTCTAAAATAGTTTGATCAATCACTTAAATTTGATTATTTTTAATTAACAAAAGTTACTTATGTTGTCTACCCCTTAATTTATTATATTTATGGATCGAGTCACCAGATTAATTTATTAACCGTCTTTAAAGCAAATACTATCATTTATAATCAACCTATATTAATAAAAAATAATTTATTATAACTTTGTAAAAAAATTAATTTATTATATCATAATTAATCTGACACTATTTTCTATTATATTAATGACGCACGTATTGTAAAATGAATAAATTTTTAATTTAACTTTTAAAGTTTACTCAAAATATTAATTTAATATTTTTATTATAATTTAAAAACTAAAAAAAATATTTTGGTATTTGGTATTAAATTTTGATTTCTAAAAATTAAAATAAATATATTATTTCTAAAAATATATAAAAGTATTAAAAGTATACAAATTATAAAAATATTCTATGTAATGATTCTATTAGAGTTTGACTTGAATTTGATGTGACACAACTTAATGAAAATATAAAATTAAGAGATAATTGGAAGAAAAAAAAAGTAAAAATCTTAGTTTTATTAGAAATAGAAAGCATATTTTAATTTATATTGATTAATAGAAGAAAACTTATTATGAGTAGGGGTGAGCAAAAATCGACTTAATTTGAAAAAACTCAACTCGAATTGACATTGAGTTGTAATTTCATAAGCTCGAAAAAATTTCAAATTCAAATTGAGTTGTAAAATACAACTCAAATAACTCGAAAAGTAACTCGAAATTTTTAGTAATTAATGAATCGATTTTCAAGTTTAAGTCAGTCATTGATTTTGTATGATATATGTATATCACATATGAAAAATATATGAAGAAATATATATTGTATATGGTTATAAAAATCATTTAAATTGAAATCAAATAATATAATATTATATATTACAATTTAATTTAAATAGAAACTTAAAAAAATCGACTCAATTCGACTAGAATTTTATATACTCGAATCGAATAAAAAAAACTTCAAGTAAAATAGGACTCGTCAACTCGAATAGCTAGAAATTTTTTACTTGACTCGATCGAACGCTCACCCCTAACTATGAGTAGACTTCTACTATATAAGTTTTATTTGCAACCAATTAACTATCCTTATAAATAAATACTAGGGATCAGGGTTAAAAGTTAAGTTGTTTCTGGCTTTATGCAAATCCATTTGTATTTTTCTACTTTCAACATTAGTAAAGATTCTATCCTACCTGTGATTTTCTTGAAATTAATTTTAACGTAAATCTCGATTTTCTTTATTTTGTGATTGGTTTACATTAGTTATTATCATGTTTAAATTATTAAAAATTGGTATAAAAGCTTAACGGTTTTGATCCGATCACGATAACAACGTTGATGAAATATGAAATTCTATTGGTGGATCGTAATACCATATTCTCGTTATGACATGTGAAACTTCTAAATTTTTTACACAAATCAATTTAGACGAGACATTGGAAGAGATCGATAAGATATCGTCATCCTAAATACATAAAGAGAAATAATTTAAGGTCCTAAAAGTCCTATTTGAAATTCTTTTACGCTTGTAAAATCAAATTTTGTAGAATGTATCAAAAGAAAAGATAATTACTTTCTTGCGACGAAATTTAAGTAACTAAACATGAATAAAATGCTAGCAAACAAATTATATCTGAACCACCATTCACATAAGTTAACAGAAGAAATTTGAGTAACTAAGCATGAATAAAATACTAACAAACAAATTAGATTTGAACCATCATTCACATAAGTTAATAGAAGACTAATCTCTTAAAGATCACTTAGCTGTCTTTAAAGAACCTGTGTCAAATTTAAAGATCATATAGGTGAAGTACGATAAAATAAAATTAAGGTTTGATTCTACTATATTCTTTGCCCCCTTCTTCTTCATTGTTTAGAGATATCATCTGGTATAGTCATGAAATCCTTATTATTAGTGAAGTATACAATTTCGTATACTTGTATGAAAAGATAAAAACACTTTACAATTAGATACGAATTTCAAGAAAAGGGTCTCGAATCTCGATTCTCATAAAATGATTGACAATAATCACGAAAGAAAAAGAAGAAGAATATTTTAACATTAAAAATCAGAGCATTTCGAAACCAAAAACAGATGTAAAACTCGTAATTTTTTCGAGAAAAGGGAGCACATCAGGTTTAAGTGCTATAAGTTGAAAAATAAGATTAAAAGAGTGAGTACAAGTAGAAAGGGGAAATAACTAAAAAAAATTGATAAAACAGAGTGTGTGAAAGAAGATAAATATAGTGACATCGAACTCTTAATTGCTGTCAATAATCATAAACAAATGAAGAAGGATATTGATTCTAGTTGCACTTTTTATATTTGTTTCAATTGAGACTATTTTACAACCTATGAAAAAGGGTCTAAAGGGATGTTTTGATGAGAAATAATATTTTGCGTAGAATTTTTTATTTTAGGACAATCAAGATTAAGATGCAATATGATATCATTAGAACATTTGGTGATGTAAGACAAGTGCTAGACTTGAAAAGAAATCTTACTTTGTTAAGTACACTTGATTCAAATGAGTATAACTAGTGAAGGTGGACTCGCAAAGATTAGAAAACAATTTATTTTGTTGATAAAATGATAGAAAACAAGACTTTCAAATTATATATTTTGCAAGGTGCAACAAGTATAGGCATACATCTATTGTTTCCTATTCCTTGATGGATGACAATATCATCAGTTTAGGGTACATGAGTGAAAACAATATGGTTAAATTAAGTAAAAGATGATGTTGTGTAAGGTGTATATACCATGATGTCAAGTATAACTAAAGGATACAAGTATCATACTTACAACATAAGATGTTGTGGGAAGTCAGAAGGTTCATTGGTGTTGAAAACATTTTGATGTTTCGATATAACAAATAAAGCGTTAATGAATTTTAAGATTTTATATTCGATTTAAATATTATATTCGATTCAATTATTCGAATATCACAAATATTACTCCAAGTTTTCAAATATAAATTTTTACTCCGTAGTAGATGGAAAATTGAGATTTATACTCAAAGTATTTTAGAAATAATTTTTACAAAGTATTTTTGAAATAATTTTTTACAAAGTATTTTGAACCATAATCGAGTCAAAATTGAGTTTCTAATAGGGAAGTACCGATACCTCTTTAACGAGTATCGATACCCCTCAAACATCGAATGCAAAAGAGGTATTGATACCCTACAGGGTATCGATACCCCTATATAAAGTAGTACCGATACCTAGCCAAAGGTACCGATACCACCTCTTTTGATTTTGACTCTGAGAAATAACAGAATGCAAAATGGGTACCGATACCACGACCGATATTGATACCTCTTTACATAGAAGTATCGATACACCCTTGAGAGGTATCGATACCTATGAATTTGTAATGGTCGAAACATTTAAATTTTATACAGGTAGTATCGATACCCCTATGAAGGAGTACCGATACCCATACGTTCCCAACAACTTTTTGAAGTGGAAAACATACAACAACGACTCTATTGACTTCATGATCATCCCCAACGTTCAAAATTCATTCAAGGGGTATTTAAATAAGTCTTGAAGCCATTGATGAATAACAAGAAACAAGTTTTGAGAAAGAATTCAAAGAGAGAAAGCCTTAAACTTATTGTTTGAGCAAATCAAGCCTACATCCTTTCAATATTCATTTTCTTTCAAGAACGTCATTTGTGCTCAATTGTATTCATTCTTAAGTGTTATTTCTTTGTTCTAGAATTGTGCAAACATTCTACCTTG